TAAATTGTAAAATTAAAAAGGAAATAATTATTGGTATTAATAAACACAATGGACAATCTTAATAAAATTTATCTTCTCTATAACAATCTCCTAAGATAAATTGAACGATAAATTATTTAAATATATAAAAAGCATTCATATTAGTCACACTTAAATGCATGAGTATTTTCTCTAAAATTTCCAAAATAAATTTTTCAATAACATTATTAAAATTTAAAGTTTATAAAATCAATTTAATAAAAATAAGAGTATTACTGTTAATTAAATCTGAGTTGAGAAAATTATTAATTTATGAAATTGAATATTAGAATATATTGACTCTCAAGAAATACGAAGATTAGAAAACTTAGAAATGATAAATGTTGAAAGATTTGGTTGTAGAATCTACTTTATCTACTTTATAAATCTTGTACAATTCACATTCTAAATATATATTAAGAGAAAATACTTGGTAATGATAAGAATAATACCAAAAAACAATATACAAAGATTTAAGATATTATTGCATTCATGCAACTAAAAGTTCTATTTCATAATATTTTAAAATGTGCTAAATTAATTTCAATTTAGTAATGCTTCAAGATTGTTAAAAAAGAAAAAAACTATAAAATAGAACTCTATCAACCAATATTGGACACAAGAAATATATTAAAATAGATTTAAATTAAGGGTTAATATAGGTTAGTTTTTAAATTAATCAAGTGTTATTGTAAGAAATTATAATATACTCCAAAAATTCTCCTAAAAGAAAACGGTTTTTTATAAAAAACTCTCTTAAACCTTGAAAAATTGAAGTTTGGGTAAACCATAATATTAGATGTATCTAAATTTTAAATAATATTCTTTTACTGCATAGAGGTGTTAAAAAAAGTATATCTTGTATTTTTCACCTAAATTTCTTTAATCTATAATCTGAACAATACTTTTTTTTGATATCCCATAGACGGATAGAGTCATCTCTCCTACCAGAAGCTAATATATTTCCTTCAGGAGAGAAACAGACTGGGTTGACAAAATTCTCTTTTTTTACACTTAAAAATATGCTGCAGCTTTGGCATAAAACATCAGAAATACTTTCAGTTCATTTTACTTTTCACTATTGTCAATTAAATCTATTGTTTATTAAACAGAATTCTAATAATCTCAATTTTATATTTTTGATTCTCAAAGTTGATTTAATATTATTTATCAAAAATAATCATTTATTCATACATGCTAAAAAGAAATTTTTTTTATTAAACTAGTTCTTCTATGACAGAAAATTATTGTTATATAAATGGATATATAAAATCAAAAAGAGTAAAAGGCTTATATTTGATGATTGGCATGTGTTAATGGTCTAAACTATTCCCTCCTTTGTTATAAAATTTCATTTCGGAAACCAATTAATCGGATAATTTTACAACATGTAAAGTAATTTTTAAATTTATTTATATTAATTCAAAATTCACTAAATATATGAAAAATATTTTTTTAATTATTAACATTATTGACATAAAGAAGATTTTAAATTGGTAATATTTTAGCCTGAGCATTACCATCATAAATGACTATTTCAGTCATCCTGTCAGGTGCTACTGTTAATACTTGCCTGTCTGTTTATCTATCATCAATATCCCACATCCGAAACCTTGCAGTATTAATTTCGTATGCTGATAAAAATTCCATAATTATTGATTCGCCGAGTCTAACAACAACATGCTTTTAATGAACATGGAGGGTAGTAATACAGTAAATTTCTTAAACGGCTATTTTCAATACCTGGTACCCAAAAAATAGTTTTTCTTGCTGAAGATAGAAGTGCTCCATTAAATTACGAAGCTATAAACAAAAAAGAACACTTGTTTATGCATCTTTGTAATTTCCCCTAATAATAGATGCTTCTCTTAAAATATAAAGATCATTTTAAGAAAATTTTGCATTAGCATCAAGCAGATGGTAATGAAGCAAAATCTACATTCTTCTAAGTCATTTGAATCCTTTTTGTTGTTACTATTTGAATAATTATTATTCATATAAGATTTTTTGATTTATTCTTATTCAATATTAAACTAATCAATGTAAGATAATGATGAATTTGTAACATATTATTCAATAACCGACAATTCTGCTCTTAAAAGAGAAAAAATTATATTTCTAATCAACTAATTCAAGATTAAAATAACCTTAATATAATTTTTAGAAAAAATCAAGAATCCATTCAGATTCATTTAAGTTAGATTGTTCTATATAAAATTTGAAGATTTCAAAAGTTTCTTCCAAAAGAGTCTAATTTGAAATATACAAGCTAAAGACAGTGCTTTGATCGATATCATTAATATTAATATTTTTTTCATGGCTTAGAGGTTTAATAGTAGTTAATTAGATTAAAGAATTCAAATATTGTGTTTAGATAACATTATTTGCCTGTATTAAAATGTACTGTCAGGTTCTTTTAAAAATCTTGAAACACAAGTATGTTGTTTTTCATTTTTTTAAAGTAGAATGATCGATGATCTAAAGATCTAGAAAAATTGTTTTTTTATGTGATTTTCCAAATTTGATTTGCGATTTCCCTGGATTAAATCAACTCTTGAAATTTTTAGTTCAATCTATCTCTTAAGATATGAGAACATTTTATTGGATTCTTTTACCACAATGTGATAACTTCTTCTTAATCCTTACTATTACTTTTGTATACTGATTATAAACACTTAATTTGGAGTATTTTTCTAATTTACTATTCGATTGCTTATTGATATTTCCCGTTTTCAATTAATCAAGTAACTATTTTATTAAAACATTGTATACTTTAATAGTTCTTCTATAACAATTAATATTCACATCATATTCGAACATTTCATCTTCAATTTTGAACAGTTGTTCTTCAAAACTGTTTTTCTCATAATTGAAAATGAATAATCCTCACTACCAAAAGGCACAGATACTAGAAATGGTTTAATACCTTTGGCAATTTAAGGTCTTCTTTCATTATCTTTGCATATCCAGGATGCATTCTCACATAGGATCCAGTAATGTGCTCAGCATTTTAAAAATCAGTATCTTTAAGCGGTTTAAATAATTAAGTCTGTTGTCTACGAGCTGCCGCTCTAGTGAATATAGCTATTCTAAGTTCATCTACAATCTCCTAATCAAAGAATATCAATTAGTTCGTATTAGGTGATTATACATTCTGTATATAAATGAATGACATTTACAAATTCATCAAAAACTTAATTAAAATCAGATTCTTATGTAAAATGACTAAAGCATTTCAATCTTAGTTTATATAAAACAATAATTTCATTTTTTTATCTCTCTACTTGCTTATAGCTAATAAGCATTATTATAAAAGTGTTGTATATAATAAGCTTACTAGGATTATATTTCTTCCATCGTAGAGGATTAGGCTTAACTCTCTTAATTTTGATATCATCCCAATCCACTTGAATTTTCTATTTTTTGAGTTTGAATATATTTTAAATTTCTTTGAGAGCCTCTGGATCATCTTTAAATTAGATTGATATTAACTAGAATATGATATAAAAGCTATAATTACATCTATTTATTATTGTTGGTCAAGGTTTCCCTTGAGAATCAAATTCTTAGTTTACTCTAGAAGATTGATTTTTTGCTTGTCTTATTTAAAAATAAACTCTAATTATTGCATGGTATCATATGATTTGATTCGAGCATCATGATAAAATAATTTATTGACATTTTCAATAACTGTTGGCTAATCTGAAAAGAGCTTCTTACTCTCACTGTAATAATGGGATATACTTTATTTATTCTATTTTTAGTCTTTAACCAGCCCAACCAGTTATCTAAATTTAAAATTTCATAATACTAGTATAATTCAGAATAGTCTCGTCTCAATCTGTTGCAAAATGCTTCGCAATTTTTATATCCTCGTTGAGTTTATTCCTCTTCTAGTTAAGAATTATTGTTTCACTCATGAAAATATAAATATATAAAAATATTTATTTCTATTTCTGATTTGATTCGTTTACTTTAATTATTAAGAGATACCTGATTTTTTAATTAATTAATAATTTGAATAAAAAATACCCATTGTCTTAGAATACCTGATGTAAAGTATTAAAAAAAAATCATTAAGTTGTTCTCCAAACCTCTAATATTATTGTCTGAATCTAGTATTTTGAACATGTAATACCTTAAAGCTTTTTCAAAGCTATGAATCCTTTTATTTTATTGATTTTCTCTGATTTTAGTATTATGTTTTAAATAAAACAACACAAGCTTGACGATTTATTTTTTATTCATTGGCAATTAATTTAATAAATTGTTAGCATTTTCCCTTTTTATTCAATCTGTGCATTTAACATATTGATTTTACTTTTCTATTTCTCCACTACAAATTCTTTAGCATAAGTTCTTTTACATAAGCTTAAAGTATCAAAATAATTCGTTTTAACTCAAATCCTAATTTTATGAAATAAATACTTAATTTTGATATTTCTTCTACCATTATAAATTTGTTACTTATATTATTTTGTAGTAATTATATTTCTTTTAATTATAATGTTTCTGGCCTTCTCTTTGACTCTGATCTTAGCATCAAAAATTGTTGAAATAATCTTGTGTTTCTGGCATTTCATCTTCTCAATTCTAACTCATAAGTTAATTATAATTAAATTTATCTTCCTTATAAAGATTTGAATTGCACCTCTAATATTCTATTCTCTTATAATAGTAATGTAGGTTCAAAGTTGGACTGTTAATTTTCTCTAGCTTATTCAAAATAAAATCATTCATTTTCTCTATTAATCTTATTCCATCCATCAAAATACTAGTCATCTCTTAACTTCTAAAATAATATAAACCCCTTATTACCAGCCTCTAATTAGCTATTTTTAGCATCCAGATCTTTCAGCAATCACATATCTACTCCAAAATATCTTTTTTAATTGATAAAATTACTAGCTCAACCCAATTAATGTCATTTTATTCACCTAATATACAAAATAGTTTTTTCTCAAAACAAAAAATTTTCAATTATTAGTTGATTTTACAAAATTTGATATTAATATTGACAATTCAATTCAAATTGAAATATTAATACTAATTGTTCTTTGAATAGATTCAATCACATAAACCAAATATGGTTTTGATAGTATAAAAATTGTGTAATTATTTTTTCTGTGTGTTCCTATTTTTTTTTCTTATTACCCTCATGTTTCTCATTATAATTAATTCCAATTATAGTTTTCTTAAACAGGATAGATCTTATAAATTTTGCAAATCTGATTAGAAATTCAATTTTTAGCTATTAATTATTAAATTATCTTCTATAATGAATAAAAATTCATCATAACAGGAAGTTTACAAAATCATTTTAGTAGGCAATTAAGGAGTAGGAAAATCATCAATATTACTCAGATATACTAAGGATCTATTCAATAGAGAATATAATGTTACAGTTGGGCTTGAGTTTGCAAGTAAAAAGGTGACTATTCATGATAATGCATTGACTCTCTAAATTTGGGATACTGTAATGTGCTTTATTTAAAAAAACTCTAGGCAGGTTAAGAAGCATTTAGAAGTATCGCTAGATCATTTTATAGAAATTCTGCTGCAATCATAATTGTATTTAAATTGACGAGGTTTATTTTCTTATAAATATAAAAGTCGTGATTCTTATTAAAGTATTACAGGATGGGCGAAGGACATCTTAGAGAACAGTGACCAAGGAGTTGTAATTTCTTTAGTGGGAAATATGATTGATTTGGAAGCAGAAAGAACTGTGACCAAAGAGGAAGGGCTACAAAAGGCTGAGGAAATAAATGCATTGTATTTTGAAACTTCTGCTGCAACTGGCTAAAATATTGATGATGTAATATTTAAATCAAATAAGGCGATTAGATTTTTATCTATACTCTAGAAAAAGTCTCAAAATAACTCAATTCTATTAGAACTAATTCTGAATAAAATGTTCGAGATTCTATAATATTGTCTTAAAAATATTCATCTCAACCAGAGATAAATTAAAAATAAACTGAGAGCACTAATAAAAGCTGTTGTTGAATTATTTAGTAATTTTATGATTTAATTATTTAAACAATTTTATTAATTTAGCAATTTATCTTCAAAGTGATCAAATTTTCCTCACTCAAATTGAGACTCTCTAAAATTAATTTGATAATTCATCCTGCTGAAAGGTGGGATATACTAAAATCTCAATATTTTTCAATCGATTGAAAAAAATTAATTTATCTAAAATTTTTTAACATTTATAAAAGATGATGTCAAATCCATCATTTTGTAATAATTGAATTTTTATTTAGTTATTAAATTGATTTTTCAATTGCATGCAAAGTATGTGGAGTCAATAAATATCATCATAGTGTCCAAAATCTCTTTTTGATTTAAATATATTTAATTTTAATTTTAATTTAAAAAATTATCAAGTTTTTATCTCAACTATAAAACCTTTTTTAAAAATAGAATGATGAAGTTAAGTAGATGAAACCCTAAAGATATTAAAAAGCAAGAATAATTTATGCCATTGATACATTATTCTTATGGATATATCAATTAACTCTTTTCAATATAAAAATTATCGATTTTTTTCAAAATAACTGATTTATAACATATATATATAGTTGGCTATATAATATCATTATTAATAAGGAATTTGAATTTGTTCTTTTAATATAAATAGAGATATCCTTGTAAGTTTAGTTAAGTTTATGACGGAGCAACAGTATCTTTGGAATAATATTTGAGCACTATCAATTATGATCAGTATTGAACTAAGGTATTTTTTGATTAAAATTCATTTAAAGCAAATAAAATTGAATCAATTAATATCTTGAAATATAATCATCTAAAATGCAGATAATCATATTCTATCATTTAGATTTGTAAAAGAAATCAATTAAGCTGATTTATATTGCCTACTTTTGAGTACCTGATTAACTTTTTATCTATTTATAAGTGTATTCAAAGAATTTAAGTATCGAAAAAAGATTCATTATTCCTAAATTATCAATAATGAATTAAAACTCATATATTTTCTAATCTTCAATATTCTTAAATTTTGATTAATACTATATTTATTTCATGATTAAATACTTAGTATATTTTGGAAAGACTAGATGTTATAATTGAAATAGGATAAAATTCTCCTTTTGATTCAAAACTTTTAGTAAAAAATAACTAATAAACTGATTCTTTGATTAGTACAATTTAAATCAGGTACTCAAATCCATAATATAAATACAATCAGTTCTTACACATTTTAAATTACTAAATCCATTTCTTAATTATTCCACTTATTATTAATAGGATGGTATTAAGAAAATAGATTAAAATTGTAAAATTCATCTTATGATTTTTATTCAAATTTTTTCATATTAAGATTTAGCAAAGTAATTTATGACATTTATAAGTTGATATCAGTAATATGCAATTGATCTATGAATATTTCCTTGCGTAATTACTAAATAAATTACAAATCATTTCAATCTAAGAGGATATCCTATATTGCAGATAAATTGATAATAAAGTGATATTATAAAGTGTAATTCAGTAATAAATTGAGCATCAAAATAATATCGATATTGCTTACCAATCTAAAATAAATTTGATATAAATGGCAGTATCATATTACTATTTAAAGCTATTGATAAAAAAAATGATAATGAAATATTGAATTGANTAAAACCTTTTTTAAAAATAGAATGATGAAGTTAAGTAGATGAAACCCTAAAGATATTAAAAAGCAAGAATAATTTATGCCATTGATACATTATTCTTATGGATATATCAATTAACTCTTTTCAATATAAAAATTATCGATTTTTTTCAAAATAACTGATTTATAACATATATATATAGTTGGCTATATAATATCATTATTAATAAGGAATTTGAATTTGTTCTTTTAATATAAATAGAGATATCCTTGTAAGTTTAGTTAAGTTTATGACGGAGCAACAGTATCTTTGGAATAATATTTGAGCACTATCAATTATGATCAGTATTGAACTAAGGTATTTTTTGATTAAAATTCATTTAAAGCAAATAAAATTGAATCAATTAATATCTTGAAATATAATCATCTAAAATGCAGATAATCATATTCTATCATTTAGATTTGTAAAAGAAATCAATTAAGCTGATTTATATTGCCTACTTTTGAGTACCTGATTAACTTTTTATCTATTTATAAGTGTATTCAAAGAATTTAAGTATCGAAAAAAGATTCATTATTCCTAAATTATCAATAATGAATTAAAACTCATATATTTTCTAATCTTCAATATTCTTAAATTTTGATTAATACTATATTTATTTCATGATTAAATACTTAGTATATTTTGGAAAGACTAGATGTTATAATTGAAATAGGATAAAATTCTCCTTTTGATTCAAAACTTTTAGTAAAAAATAACTAATAAACTGATTCTTTGATTAGTACAATTTAAATCAGGTACTCAAATCCATAATATAAATACAATCAGTTCTTACACATTTTAAATTACTAAATCCATTTCTTAATTATTCCACTTATTATTAATAGGATGGTATTAAGAAAATAGATTAAAATTGTAAAATTCATCTTATGATTTTTATTCAAATTTTTTCATATTAAGATTTAGCAAAGTAATTTATGACATTTATAAGTTGATATCAGTAATATGCAATTGATCTATGAATATTTCCTTGCGTAATTACTAAATAAATTACAAATCATTTCAATCTAAGAGGATATCCTATATTGCAGATAAATTGATAATAAAGTGATATTATAAAGTGTAATTCAGTAATAAATTGAGCATCAAAATAATATCGATATTGCTTACCAATCTAAAATAAATTTGATATAAATGGCAGTATCATATTACTATTTAAAGCTATTGATAAAAAAAATGATAATGAAATATTGAATTGATTCAATTATTGAATTTATATCTATTGCATTAGCACATATTCTTCATGTTTGAATTGTGAAATAGTTTATTATAATAATGGTAATTTTTCATCCTTCTATTTTTAAAGTACAAGAAATTATTTAATATTCATAATAAATAAAATGGTTGATAATCCAGTTCAGCTGCATATTGATTTTGAAAATTTATAAGTTTCTGATTAAGATGATGAGTGCTACAGTGGAGTTTCAGATGTTTCTGTTGAACTTTAAATATTAGAATACTAGCCATAATAACCAGCTAGCTTGAATATTGAAAGAAGGATTGTTTCATATCTCAAGGAACTTGGCATCAAAATGAAAACAGATCCAAGAGCTAAACAAGATAGATATTTTAAGAGAAAACGGCAGTTAAAAAGAGCACAAACAACTTTCATGGAAGAAAAAGAAATTAAATCGACTACTATGACTCCACCTTAAATCAGTAAGAAGCCTAAAATGTAGTTATAAATGAATTCCATTATTGGAAGACGTACTCCACAAAATTTAGGAAGCACTCCTTTACTTCATTTTCCAAATAAAGTTGCTGAAAAGTCTAAATTCAGCCTTTAGCGTGAAACTTCTAGTTCTCCAGTTTGAATTTGATATTATTTATAACAAATTATCATTCTATAAGATACTTAGTAAAATGTCTCAGCATTAAATAGAAATCATGATTTTTAAATGTTATATTGCAATTTTAAAATTATGATGAATTGAATCAATGTAAATTTTATTTATAAATTGAATTTAATTTTTAATTTTTTCAATGTTTAATATTGAATTAATGACCCAATTCATATTCTTCATCAAATCTTTGGATAGCTTGATATTATTCAACAAGTGATTTTATCTAATATTTAAAAATGGAATAAGTACTTCATAACTTTAGTAAGTATCAAACCTAATAGGTTCCTTAAATATTTGTAAGTCAAAGATTATTTAACTAGGATAAGACTTTACGCCATTCACACGACCATAATCAATTTCTCTAAATTATTCCTTTCTTTAAGGGTTTAAAAAATGTATTTTATGAATTGACAACCCTAAATAAATGGTGGGATGAACTTCTAGCCCAGAATTCTTAAAAAACTTTTGAGTTCCCTCATAAACTTGCACTTAAAAGATGGCCATAGAGCTTTAAACGAAGGTCCTTGCAGCATTCAAAGTAACTCCTGCAGCCAAATATTTTTTGTCTGTATGTTTGTATTAGGAGTTGGGTTTCTTTTATATTTAGTCATTTTCATTTTTTTTCTTGTATAAATGGTTAAATTTTTACACTAATTTATGAGAGTTCATTGTCAAGTGCCTTGAAACATTAGGTAACAAGATCCTTCCATTCTTTGTCTGTGCTGCTTTGAAACATTTCTTGAGGAATTACTCTTCTAACTTCACCGAATAATTTATCATCCAATCTTTAATGTTTCATATGAAAATAGAGTGCAGCAAATAAACAATATTCTTTAAATCCAAGTTATAGTTTTTAATCGTGAACATCATCTAATACAGAAAAGGCTAGATTGATTAACCTTACCGGATCTTCTTTATAATCACTCTCTTCTAATTTGGCAGGCAAATAAATGTATTTTTTCAGCTTGATAAGAACTCTATATAATTAGAATTAACTAATACTCTGAATTTGACTTGGCTAACATCTATTCCAATTTATTTAATATTCCATGATTATTTTGTCTTTCATCTTCAATCACTTTATAAAGTACTTCATCATCATCCAAAACTCTTTGTTTTTTCAATTAATCAATTAAATATAATCTAAAATCTTTATAATAAATGAGATGATTGTATTTGGCAACAAATTCTAATACCTCTCTGACTCTTGTTTGTTCAGTTACTCCAAGTGCTGTTTCAGTTCCATCAGGAAATGTAATAATCACTTTTTGCAAATTTGGATCTTTTGAATTCTCATAAGAAATAACCTTATTGGGACAAATTTAAACAACACTTTTTTTTCTTGTCTCTTATTCTATATATACAGCCTTCAAAATTTCCCCAGCACTTATTTTCAGTTTTTCTACATTTATTCCTTTTTCTCTTAATTCTTCTTTTCCCTCAAGAGTAGTTCTTTTAAAATTCTGCTATTTCTAAGTTAGATTTGATTTCAAAATAGATTAATACAAATCTGGCAAATCGAAAAAATTCTTAGGTAATTCTAATAAGATTAATAATGATGTATATACTTAATTCATTCAAAATATCAGGATCCTATTAGGATTCTTTTGCTTGTAACAAAGCCTAAAGGAAGTTTTCAATTGCTATTTTACGTGCCTCTATGGATTTGGTCTTGTGACTCATTAGCCAATTTTTATCAGGTAATTAAGGTAAATCAATTTTGGGATATCTTTGCTTATATTTACTAGACATAGCTTCAATTTCACTGTATCTAATAAATATCTACATTAGATCTGATATATACATTTTAAAACACTTTATTAATACTAATTTCAGTAATATATTATGTATGTTTAGTGAAAGATTAAAAATTCCTTTCTTCAGTTCCAACTACAACAACTTAAACAGGATATCGCATTTTAATTTATTATTTACAGAGTTCTTTCTCTTTTTCATGTTCATGTTCTCTATTCTCTTAAATTAATTTTTCAAATTAGTCAATATATTTCTTTTTTGCAACTGGGGTTTCAGCTATGCATTATATTGTATCACCTACCCCAACAATCTGAAACAAATTGCTAAAGTACTTATTATTGTCAGATTAATTCTTAACAAAAGATAAAGAATCTAATTTGAGTTTCTTTTAAACTTTTTCATCATGTACAACTACTAACATATCACTTAAAGCATAGACTGTTACTTAACAATCTTCATCACTTTTTGCATTTGGTTAAATAATTGTTAATTTCTCCTCAAATTTAAAAACTCGATTAGGTTCATTCAATAATTCTTCTTAATTAATCTTCAAAGATTCACTCAATTATTGAAGTTATAATCTACCCATAAAAATATCCATAAATTTGTTATTTTCTTCGTTTACTTCTTTGAAATATTTATGAATTTCTTTGATATTAGGTAAATCTGGATAATCTTCATCTGTATTTTTTTCTAAATCCTATAATAAATTTTAATCTTACTTTAAATAACAAAATATATTTAGGCAATCTTTAAATAGGCTTTACTAAGAAACTTCCTAGGTCCATTCCTCTTAAAGTGTTATTTTTATTGAGTTATATTAAAAATTCTTTAAACTTCTGATCATTTGCTTTGAGATGTTCAAAATGTTTATTTGATTTTGTAAATTTACTACAATATTCATAATAACATTTGAATGCATTTATATCTGGAGTTTTTAATTATTTAGCATTTCCATCAAAAACTGGTTGATATGGTTTTGGTATAAATTTCTTATCAAGATTATATTTTTAATATCCTTTTTCCATTTCTAATAAAAATTCTCTATTCCAAGCCAATATTTAATCACAATTCATAAAGATAGTTTCAACATCATTTGGTGAAATAATTGATAGTGAAGATGTTTTCACTTTCTCACAGATAACAGTTAGATCATTTACATATGTTCTCTCTGTATTTATAATTTCAGCTATTACATTCTTTCTATATCTATGTTTTTTTTTCATTTTTTAGTAAAGCTTTTATTATTTTTTACCATAAAACCATAATTGCATTCTATGAACAGCTTTAATTTCTTTACTCATTACTCTTATACAATGGGATTCTTCAATAGGCTTTTATTGAACTGATAGCTATTATCTTGGTTATTGTTATTGTTATTGCTATTGATAGACACTCTCTACAATTTTAAATTAATTCTTTGGTTATCCTAGTAATTGATTGGAATTTTAGTTCATTTATAAAAAAAAATATTATTATTTACAATCAAAATTTCACATTTAGGGATTCTAAATTTCTCTAAAACTAGCCATTGATCTAACATCATCAGATCTATTTGAATCACTTAAATGAGGAACACTTTGAATACCAGTTAAAGTTTTTATGGCATTTCTTTATAATGTAGCCCGTGCTCTTTTTCTACCAATTCTTAAAAATCGTTTTGCCAATGAAATACCAACAATCCATGATTCTGAATATCTATTTTTCTTTTTCTTCATTATTTCTTCTTTTCTCTATTATTCCATCTTTGTAACAGTGTCTCCTTTAGTTAATTAGAAATGTCTGTCTTTTTATTCATCAAAGTCTCTCTTTTTTCTTTTTAATTCTTCGACTTCATGTTGCCATCTCATAAATGTCATAAAATCTTTGCTTTTCAATTTGACAGTTATTTTCCCTTATTAATAATATTCTTCTATTTAATTGTTCTCACTCAATTCAGAATTTTGTTATAGTCCTTTCAAGAAATTAATTTGTTATTTCTCATTAGAAATGCTTCTTATAGGAATATTTGGTAATCTTATCTATTATTTATTATCTTTGACCAATAATTTTAATGATGCTGCAGCTTATTATCTAAGTAAATAATTAGTAGAGTGTTATGATTTTTGAGAATTCGAAGATTCTTCAGATGTAATTGAAAAAGAACTTGAATCAGAAGAGATTTCAAATTCAAATCTTTTTCCCTATATTACTAATATGGATTTTCATTTACTTTTTTCTTGCTCAACAATTTTAATGGTTATTCTTAAGGAACTTCTTAATCAACAACTTATTAAAATTAAGCTTAAGATCTTTGGCTCAATATCATTTACAAAGAGGTTCGAGGATCAACGCTATGTCTCATTTAATTCATTTCTTTTGATATAACTTGTTGCAATTTAAATCCTCCAATTCCTATTGGTTAATCCATCTAAATGTAATTAAAATAAAGAAAGAGAATTGATATATCAGATGATCGTATTTATTTCATATCATTATTATAAGCACTCTTTTTCAATGATGAACCCGTCCTCAAATTAAGGAAGCTCAAATTGAAGAAAATGTCAGATTTAGAAACCTTAATACATTCATAAAACTAACGGAGAGAATCATTTGACTAAAATCTCAATTGCAACAAGTTATTGTAATAATCCAAAAACTAATCACTTGATGGTGGAAAAATAATTGATTATGTTAAAGTTTAGAATAGAGAGTAATGATCAATAATCAATTATTAGGTTAAACTAGGTGAAATTGTAACAAAAATTTTTGAATCGTTCACGCATTCTACAAGATGAACCTCAAAAAAACAAGGAAAAAGAATTACCATTTGTTGAAGTACACACATTACTCATATCTGTGTATAGTAATACCTCTTTAGAAAAACAGTTAAGAATATCATTAAAAGATCACATATTAAACATGATAACATCAGGGCATCCTTGAATAAAGTTGAAACTTTCTTGAGTGGTATAGATACAACAAGAGATTAATATCCCCAAATTTCGCCTCATAGTCAAACTAAAAATACTTAAATCAAGACATGCAGAAATGAAGATAATTCATGTCATTCCATAAAATCGTAATAATTTAATGTATCCGAATCTCCATTGGTTAGAGATAGATCAAAATCTCTTATGCAAACAATTGAGTAGAACAATGAGATTAGAAGTAAATCAATAATGTTATACCTAATAGATATGAGGAGAGCAAAAGTTAATGAAATTATTTACAAAACTGAGGAAACCAGAGAACGTAGTATGGCAGCTGTAAGATAATTATTAATTTAAATAGAAACTATCAGTTTATAGTGAAAAACCAGATAGTATTTAACCAACCAAAAAATAATTATAATAACTTCGATATAAATGGGTTAGAAAACTAAAGTATAAAATAGAATTACATAACAATTAAATGAAATAATTTATGGATTTCTTAGATTATCTGAAATCATCTGATATTAAAGTAAAAAGTGAAGACCAACAATATTTAAAATACTATCGAGATAAACTATTAAATGGTGATCATCTTATCGAGGAAGATTTTTAGATGATGATAAATGATTAAAACACTCATATTATTGGATTATTAATAAGAGGTTATATAGCTATTGAAAATTGATCTATGTTTATGTAACAAATTATTCAAGAATATTAGATAAAATTCATTTAATTATTCATATTCGTAAGTGTATAAATAATAAATCTTTTATATATTAATTTAATCCAAATGGCAGAGAATGTAAAAATTGTTTCTTATTATTTCATAGTTTGAATTAGCAGCAGAAGAAGTTAAATCATTTGTTGATAAATTGAATGATTAAACAAAATTGTAGATCTATGGATTATATAAATAAGCTACCGTAGGAGATGTTAATATTGGTATTGTTGTAAACTTATAATCCTCTAGGTAAACCAGGAATTCTTGACCAAAAAGGCAGAGCAAAATGGGATGCTTGGAATGCCAACAAAGGAAAGTCTAAAGAATAAGCCAAAGCTGAATATGTTCAAATCGTTAAAGCCAATGCTCCTGCTGATATTGCAAAAAACTTATGAGAGTATGAAAATGATAATATCATATTCAATTTAACATAAACATATAAATAAATCATAAGAAAATGAAATGGAAAAACAATGGTATTTATAATAATTTTTGAATGGATTTCCATAAAATGTATTAAAAAAACATATTTTGATTTCAAAATAGGAAGTTTATATAAGTATATAATTGTTTCAGATATCCACAAAATCTTTAGATGAAAATATAATTTCTATTGCTATATAATATCTAATACTATTGCTTTATTTATGCTAAATACTCATTTTTTAAAGAAATTAGAAATTTTAAGTATGACCCTTAATTTACTTAAATTAAAATTTCTTCATAATAATCTAATGAAAAAGAATTAATCATTTATTTAACAATAATTTATTCAAATCTTAATTCTTGATAAATTTGATTTAAATATATTTAGATTCAAAGAATGACAGAAGTTATTTAAGTCTATTTCGAATCATTTCTATAACTAAATCGACAATTATTCTTAAAAATCTATAATAAATAATTTAATCAAAGAGAATCTGGTAAAAATAAAGATCTTAATAGAATGCATTAAACTATAAGTTGTAGTGATTTATAAGAAAATAACATTAGAGCTACTTAATTTTTCAGGCTTTCTCTAAATTAATTCTTCAAAAATGCAAATGAAAATTTGATAAATTATTCATTAAATTAGGAAGGTAGACAATATCATAATGTTATTATATTAATTGATTCATTTAATCATTAAAATCTTAATGATTAAATGAAATATTTAATAAAACATCTTATTATTTTCTGTAAAGTATAATGCTTTGTATATATTTAGTAATAAATTGAAAGAATCTATTCATTAATTTAGAAGGATCAAGAATGTAGTTTTAAAATGATTTCTTATGATTTATAATAATTTTGATATATCAATGGAATATGGATTTCTTTTAGGAATTCAATAAGGACTTTGTTTCTACAGTTTAATCGCTAAAAACATAAGCTTCTCCACCAGCTAAAACTAAATATTATTTAAATACCATAGCTTTGGTCTATTCCCAAAGATTCTTATTCAGGTTTAATCTTAAAGATTCCAAACCCTTTTAATGGGACCAAAACAGCTAAAATGAGTAAAGCCCAGCCAGCAATTGAGAGTACTCCTACAATTTATATTCCAAATTATTTTAGACCTTAACCATAAAATAATCCATGAGATCTTGATACAATTCCATATAATAGAGTTCCAAGAACTCCTGGAACAAGATGAGCACCAACTGCTTATCCTGGATCATCAACATGAGATCTTTTAACTATTAGTTATATCACAAGATATGAGATTCCAGCTAATGTTCCAATAAAGGCAGCTGCCCATAATTAGATATCATTTGCACTTGCACTTACTGCTACAACTCCTGCAAGTGCTCCTCTAGCAATAGTTATCAAACTTGTCTTTTCTTTTTTCAAATAGTATGAAACATAACTACTCAATCCACCAAATGATGCAGCCAAAAATGTATTAACAGGAACTAACCCCTTAATATAATTTTCTGATCCTCTATTCAAACCAGAGAGGAAAATGATTTAGACAACAACTAGTAAGATTGTACCAATTCCAATGAAGAATGGTGCATGATGTGGGAAGATTCCAGGATGAATTTTTCCATTTTGATCTCTGCGTTCATGTAATAATAATGATGCCACCAATGCAGTAACACCTCCAAACACATGAATTATTGAGCTTCCTCCAAAGTCTTAGAATCCAAATATACTCAACCATCCCTTACCAAAAGTCCAATGAACAACAATTGGATATAAGAGTCCTTATAAAATTACTACTCCAAAACTGAATGAAAAGAATCTTGATCTCTCCAAAGTTCCAAATGCAAAGATTGAAGTAACAAAAATGGCAGCAATTGTGTGGAATACAAAATTGTCATAATCATTTCTGTTTGGTGTTGATTCAAATTATGCAGCGGCAAATAATGATTTACCAATGAATTTATTTGAATCTAATCCAAATGCAAATGCATAGCCAGTCTAATTAGATATTTATTTATCTTACAATAAAGAAAGCAATAATTGTTAAGATTCCGCCCAATAAAATTGTAATAATAGCAGATTGTACTGATTTGTATCTGACTGCTCCGGCAGCTATCATTGAATATCCTAGTAGTCCTAGGATAGAGAAGAAAGCACAAGACAACACCCAAGTTTCATCTAAACCCATTTGATTCCGTTAAAATTATTAATTACTTTTTGGAATTCAAATTTTGTTTTTATATTTGGATATTACATATATGTTCAATTCTTTTCATTGTAATAATGCTCTCACGACAGTATTCACATTTAATTTTTTTAAATGTGTATATTTCTGTCCTACTCCAACAAAAAGAATTGGCTTGCCTGTGGCTGAAGTTAATGATAAAGCTGCACCAACTAAAAAATATATTATAAATAATTTACCTTTTTCATCAACAGTGTCAAATTTACTCAAAATAATAGCATCAATCTCTCTAACATTATCCTTTGGACTATTTACAATTAAAGCTTTATTAAAATTAACCAATTAATCTACTCCATCATTTCCAACTAAGGCTTCCCCTACAAATAATACAAGATCAGGATTGTTCATAGTTACTATTCTTGATAATGCTCTCATTAATGGTTCGTTATGTTACATTCTACCAGCTGTATCAACTAAAACAACATCAATTTTTTTAATTGTTGCTTCCCTTATAGCTTAATAAGCAATTTCAGGAGGATCATCTTTATATCCTCTATCATAAACTGGAATTCCCAAACATTATCCATGAGTTTTTAATTATTCTACAGCACCAGCTCTGAAATTATCACATGCTGCAATCATCAATGAGAATCCTTAACTTTTGAATAAATATCCTAATTTTGCAAGTGTAGTTGATTTTCCAACTCCATTAACTCCAATGATAACTATAACATATGGTTTTTGTTTTTCTTTTGATCTTAATGCTTCAGCAATAATATCAATATGTCTATTAGGTGTCAGAATTCTTGTTAATGTAGACTTCATTGCTTCTTAAACTGATGTTCTAATTGATTAAAATGCCTTTGTTTTTGTAGCTAATAAATTTGATTTAATAGAATCAACTAATTTTTATGCAATTTCTTCTGCTACATTTTTTTACATTAATGCATTTTTGAAATCATCTAAAACTGGTAATAAATCTTCTTCAGTTAATTATTTATTTCCTGTAAGATTTTAAATCTTACCTGTTAATTTTGAAAATAAACCTTATTTTTTTTGTTATTTTGGATTTTCATCATCTGAACCAAATAAAGGATCATCATCACCAACAAATTATTTTAATAAATCATCTTCCTATTCTTAAGTCATATATTTCTCATTTTAATTAGTTTAAACTA